TCATTTATCGCCGTACTAAACTATAATTATGTCATAAAGAACTAATCTGACTTGATTTAAATCGCTAAACGTTTATTCGTGCAGAATACTTCAATGGTTTACACGCTATTGTATCATCTGGAATACTAATCTATTATTCGACAATGCATTTTGTAGAGAAATGTTTACTCTTGCAGTCTATGTAATTAGAAGCACACTACAATTTCTCATAGCAAAAAGTTTTTAATGAATATAGGCCGGATCCAAACTTGAACCCGGACCGTTTTCTTGAAAAATATTGACTATGAGGAACTGTATCATGTCTCTTATTACATAGACTGAAAGAGCAAACATTTCTCTACAAAATGTACTGCCGAATAATGGATTAGCATTTCAGATGATACAATAGCGTGTAATCCTTTGATCAGACCCGTCAAAAAGTCTTGAGACCGATGTAGCTCTCCACTCTCTACACACTTATCCTCACCCTGATAGTATATAATGGTCGGTTTAATTTCAATTTGAGTTTTGAAAACAAAAAGCATTCAATTTCTAACTGAAAGACGGATATAGCGGGTCTGTCAGATTGCTGCTATTCATATCATTATGTATAATATACATCCCACCGTCTTTTTCTGGAGTGCAGGTCTGGAGAGTCTGTGATAATACATTTATTTATATAACGATGTAAGTAAAGGCGTCTTCATAGAATCGAAGACTCACACTCAATAGAAAATCATGAGTAATAAACTGCATACAAGGATATAAACAGGCGGTCATTTAAGCAGCTCAAGACTCGTATCTTGGATACAGGTGTGAGACTCATAAAATGCATTCGATAGTAAAGACTGAAATATCTAAAGTATTACCAACAGCTAAAGTTTTGACGATATCAGATTAGAGTAAAAAACATTGTAGTCGAGTGAATGTTCTTTGTATGTTGGTTGTGTACACTATCATCTTTAGAAACTTAATCATCTCTTTAATTCTTCAGCGCAACAGCCTGTGACGTATGGGTTTCAAGCCTTGCTCAATTGTATTCATGAGATATCAATAAAAGTCATCCAATGTCAAAGAAATAACAAAAGTCAGTGATGTATACGAGACACTTATAACCATAAATCGATGTCGACAGTAGCAGAAGAGCCTGTAATGCATTGGTTTCGCGAATTTAGTATTTTTCTTAATTTTGCATTATTTATTATGAGATTCAACCAAGCCTTCATGCAAGGTATGTACTTTTAGGAATTGTCGTATCGAACAATGCTCAATATTCTTTTAGAGAATGTGGTCAACAGTGTTTATGACTCCTACTCGTCTGGACGCTGCTCCTTACTGAAACCCTCCTTTATAACGATGGATCGGAGAGTTGTAGTAACCTTGTCATAATCGTAGGAATTACATGAAAGCTACCATTGGTTTTTATCATTGTCTATGGGTATTACTAACTTTTGTACTACGAACATATTTGGTTTCCTTATTTACCAGCGTAAACACTTTGAACTATGCTATCATATCGGCTGACCACCTCTGAAAAACTCAACAGAATACAACCCAAACCTACGTCTTCCTAAAATTCTTTCCGTGAGACCAAACATGCCAGCAAAAGTTATTATTTCTTTCTACGGAAACCTTTTCCACATACTTATTCACGTAAAATACCAACGAAAATATCGATCGCTTGTACCAATTATTATGCATTACTCAATCGTCACCTGCTATTTCAGATTGGTTGTATTCTTTAACGATTACACACGAAGAGTACCATTCACACCGCGTATCATACCCATCTGCTTCTACAGCCCAACACGGTACCTCTTCAAAACGATAGCGTCCCACACACTTATTCAGGAATAAAACACCAACATGCACCAAAACACTAAGTACGAAACAACATACATATTCATCTAAGCCTGAGTAGTAAAATAACATCATGCACTACACCAACAACAAACTGACCCACAAACAAACCATTACTGTCAAGCTTCTTTCGGGCAGTAATCTTGTACTAGCCATCAGGATCTACCACTA